TAACCATACAAGGGTAATAGTCAAGCTCCCTGGTTTTTGATACCATTTTTTCCTAATTTTGCAAAAAAGAAATGTGATCTGAGCCAAGAAGAGTTAGGTGCTCTCATTCTTTGCCTCATGGTTTCAAAGTTGTCCTCCACTGGGTTGTACATTAGAATCAAATGAAGAACTTAAAAATTATACTGATACCAGGTCCTATCCACAGACAATTCTGATTTAATTGGTCTAAGATACAGCCTGGTCATTATTAAATTTGTGTTTTTTTCTTTTTATTTGTTTGTTAGAACTCCGTATTTCTAATATGCAGCCAAAGCTGAAAATCATTTGTCTAAAAAAATTTTTTTTTCCAAATACAGTAACATTTATCTGGAGAGAAGGATCACTAATGATGAGACTTAAGGCTCTGCTTCACAACCAGACCTTGTGAATATTTTATAAACCTTGGGTACATGCTAAAGAGTCTCCAGAATACGAAGATGGAATGAATGGAAAACTAGTACCCTGGACAGAATTTGTGATAAAATACTAAGGTGAATCTCTAGTTACATAAATTTAACCTACAACTGAGGATTAAATTACACAAGTACAGAATAGAGAAAATAGGTTTAGGATGACTGTTAGAAAAAACATTCTAAGTTCTTAGTCTATTCATCCCTCCATATCTGTGGGTTCCATCTCTATGGATTCAACCAACCATTAAAAATATTAGAAAAAATTGCATCTGTACTGAACATGTACAATTTTTTTCTTGTCATCACTCTTTAAATAATATAGTATAACAGCTATTTACATAGCATTAAGTATTATAAACAATCTAGAGATGATTTAAAGTTTATGGGAGGACATACATAGATTATATGCAAACATAACATCACTTTATATAAGGTAATTGAGCATCCTCAGATTTTGACATCATGAGGGGTCCTGGAACCAGTGTCCTATAGGCACCAAGAGGCAACTATAAATGTTATGTGACTACCTAAGAAGCTACTTTGACTTAGACCAAACTCTATTTTTCAAAAAAGATACATAGCCTCTGGCTACTTTACTTCTCTACACTTCACTTTGTTCATATATACCAATAACTTTTAGTAATGCTTCTGGTATTTTAATGTGCCCACAACTCCCTTGAGGATCCTATAAATATATAGATTCATAGTCAGTAGATCTGGTTTTAGCCTGAGATTCTGCATATCTAACAAGCTCCCAGATGCTGCTGATGCTGCTGGCCCACCCCACAGACCAGAGCTTTGAGAAGCAAAGTCTCAGAAAACTGTTAGGAGGACCAAGAGAAATGACCTACATAAAGTGTTTGTTGGTACCCTACCAGAAAAAAACAAAAATAAAAAAAAAACAGGAAAATTATAAAAACATGTTTAAAAACTAGAAATTATATGATCTAATCCTATTGTCTTTCCAGATGTGGACTACAGTAGGTCCAGATAGTTTAAGATTGTTCCCTCCTAACAGCCAAAGATGTATAATGGAGAAGAGGGATGAGACTAATTCTGAAAAAAGTATAAACATGATCAATAAGTAGAAGTGTAAGAGAGCTTTTAATTCCTACAAGGGAAATCTTCCAACAATAAATGCAACTCTACAACCAATTGGCCTATTGACAATGAAGTCTCCAGTTACAAACTATAAGCATAAATCAATTGGTGATATTCAGAAAATATTCTAAATATTCAGATCTCAGGTTACAATACAACTAAGCTTGTCTACCTAAAGAGGCATCATGCACACACTTAATACGTACAAAATGTGAAAAACAAAATAGAAAACTTGTCATTTCCCTCCCAACTCCAACCTTCTTTATGAAATCTTCTGCTCAGCAAATGGAGTTACTTAGGTCAAAAACCTTTAGGATCATCCTAATACATCTTTCATTTTTCACATTCCTTCCATCAAAAATACTAGTGGGGCTGGGGATGTAGCACAGTGGTAGAGTGCTTGCTTAGCATGCATGAGGTCCTAGGTTCAATTCCTAGTATCAAAAATTAAAAACAAACAAAAAAATTAGTGGCTGTACCTTCAAGTTGTGTCCACAATCCAGTTACTTCTCACCACCTACATTAGCACTATCCTGATCTATCCTTAACCATCACCTCTTTCTGCATTCCTGAAATAGCTTCCTAACAGTTTTCTCTGTCTTTATCCTTCCTCCACAGCATTTTCTCAGCATAACATTCAGTGTTGCCACTTCTCAACAATATTTAAGGCTTTGTATATATTCAGAATAAACACAAAGTCCTTACAATCATTAACAAGACCTTATAGGATCTGCCCTCTTCAACCCTTGACCACATTTTTTGTCACTCTCCATTTTTTCACTCTTCTCCAATCACCTCTGACGTCACTGCTCTTTGTAGCAGTGATGTTACTGCCTCAGGACCTTTTCACTTATTCTTCTTTCTGCCCCAGCCACACTGGTCTGTGACACCGCCTTACCCTACCTCTGAAGAAATGAACAAACATCCTAGATACAGTGACACTCTGCTATCCATAGGGGATTATAACTAGTTTTCTCCTTTTATAACTAATATTTTTAGTGGAGTTTGAAAAAACTAGCTACCACTGTGTGGGTATGAACAGACAATAGGCAAAGAAAGCTGGAAGGTGGCATTCAGATGGATTTCTTTTAAAAAAAAATGGAAGTCACCCATCTACAGACAACTCTCTCTGGGGACCCATACACCAAGGCTGCTCTACACAATTGTTCTGCTTCACACCACACAATAGCTTTATTCACGTAGTGTTGTGCAGTGTAGCTTCTCCAGCCACTCAGCTTTTAGGGCTCACAGATTAAGGCCACTCTTGGCTTGCACAAACAGCTTCAGCGGGAAGGAGATAAATGCATCTGATGTAAGAATTAATGTGAGCAAGGCAAGCAAGGAAGGAAATGGAGGGAGATTTGGCCTGAGCTGAAGTGCCCTGAAGGAAAGGGTGCACTTTTGATGTCATCTTTGGCCTCATTTCCTCTCACCTTGCACTTGAAGTCTCCCTCCCCTGCCTCATGAGCAGGCTACTTTATGACACAAACTAAAGAGCCAGAGGGGCATGCGGCTACCTCAAAACCATGTGCCCTAGTTTAAGAAAGCAGAGCACTGCTTTCAGGAACTCAAAGAGCAGCAGGGCAGACTCCTATCTACAGCTATTTCTCAGCCAAGGAATCAGATTTCCTCTCTAAAGAGTATTCTTTGTGGCTCTTCCTCGAGGGCTGGCCAGTGTAGGGACTGAGGAGAGCCTAAGAAGATGGAATTCAGTCCCTTGATTCAAAGGAGCAGAGCCGCCAAGTGGCCCAAATGGTTTGGTGTGGTAAACATGCAATTTAGACAAGCCTACCCACCTTCTCTTTTAAAGCCAAAGATGATGGCTTTTGTGGGATAACAAGGAGAGCCCATGACACAGTGTCAGGTAACAAAGCAAAACGTTTTAGCACTAACACTTGCTTTGCGTGAAGCATGTTAAAAAATGATCTTGTAATCTTGCTGTGTAAGAACAGAACATCACACACTTGGGACATCTTTCTGGGACTTGTGTTGGTGAGAGGAGCACTTCATCAGCATCTCTGGTCTATGCAGGGCAAAGCATCCAGCAATGAGCCACACACAAGCTGGATACTAAACCTCCTGGGAAATCCAACTAGGATCACTGAATTCTCCTCTTTGAGGTAACACATTAGTGATCATTTGATAAACTTATTAATGTAACCCACAGGCAGTAGAGAACAATAATCTTTCTTTTTCAAGAGAAAAAAATGCTTTGAGTACAGAAAATTGATATAAACTTTAAACGGCTGGCATTCTCCACCCATATTTTGAATATCCTATCAAGGATATTCTATTTAAGTCAGGCTCAGTGTGAAACTCTTTAGGAGACAAATAATTCTCTAATATATCCTTTGGGCAAATGTATTTTTATATAATGGATTGGCTTAAAATGAGGTATACTGGTACTGAATAATTTGCACAGCAATAGCTCATTGCCAATATTTATTACACACAGGAATATCAAAGGAAAGGCCATTTTCTCATCCCATTTTAAACAATCCAACCACAATATGCTTTTTTTTTTAATTTGAAAGTTCTTAGGTTAGGAGAATATTCAGGAAAACGATTTCTCCAGGTGAGAAGACTCTCATGCAAACATTTGGAAGGAATGAACTAGTAGTGGATGAGAAGAGTGCGAGACCAGGTGCCCTTAGGGAAATCAAATGGCATCACTAAAACTCCCTCCTCCAACCTTAATTGGTCAAATGCCAAAATAAATGAACTTTCCAAAGTTAGGAGCTTCTCAACTTTCACTAGGGATAACAGCAGGTGCACAAGCCATGACGGGAAAACCCACCCAAGTGTGCTGGGCGGAGGTGCCTTGGGAGTCAGGCGCCCAGGCCCAGGCCACCTCCGCGCCTTGTGACCCGCAGGGAATGGGTTCAGGTCCAGCTGCCCAGAACCAGTAGCTTCCCACCTCCAGATCCCGTCCCGTCCTTTTCAGCCCAGACCAAGGAAAGAAACTAGGTGCTTAGGAGCCAAGGTAAGCAGCTCCCGGTGGGATTCAGCCGCAGCCGGGGTCCGTTCCCAACTCCCAACTTCCCAGAGTTTCCTCTGGCCTCGTCCCTCTTTTCACAGCTTGGGAGGCCGCCGGGCCTCCCCTGGCTCAAGACGCAGAGACTGGGAAGTAGAGTTCCAATATTAGAGCTCAGGAGCTGCCCCCAGGAGCCCTGTAAAGGGGAGCGCAGGTGGCGGGCGTGGTTCCTCCTGCCCTACCCCAGCCCACCCTAACTCGGCCTCCGTTCTGCAGCCTCCGCCCGGGTCCCGCCCGGTTCTAGCATCAGGCCACGGGGCACACTGCTTCTTGATCCCTCTTCAGGCTCAGTGGCCACCCCCTGCCCTCCGCCAGTCCGCGTCGCTCTTCTGCTTCAGGCCCCGGTCATCCCCAAGTCCCAGCCTAGGGCCCTTTTGGTCGCGTCAGACGGCGGCGGCGGTGGCAGCACTCACCTGGGTCACGGAGCCGGGGTCTGGCACGGTCCCGCAGGTGGTAGATGAAATCTTGGCAGCTGTCGTGCTCCAGGGCCCCACGGGCACAGAGCTCGGCCAGCAGCTGCAGCGCCTGGTGACAGAGCGCGTCCCTGGCCCCGGGCATCGCCCCCCCGCATCCTCGGACCGCGCCGGGCAGGCGGGCGCGGGAGACAGCCCTCCGCCTGCCAGCTCAGAGCCGCCGCCGCCGGGCGGTCCGCGCTCGCAGCCAGAGACCCGCCAAGAAACGTTCCGAGCTCAAGCCGGAGCCCCAGACGGCCCGGCCTCCCACCGGTTGCATGCAGCTCTTCCCCAGCCGGCCGGTCGGGCTTTCTCTCTCTCCCGCCCGGCCCCTCGGTCCCTCCTCCAGCGCGGAGGGGAGGTGGCGCCGCGCAGCCCAGCGCGCCTCTAGCCTTGCGCTCCGCCCGCCACTCGCTGCCGCCGGGGGCGGGGCTGGGATAGGGGTGCGCGCCGCGGGGTAGGCTCGCGGCGGCCCTCGTTTGGGCGCCCACCGAATACACCGGGCGCGTGTCGGCTTCTGGCGCAGCGCGGACCGAACTCGACTCGAACCTCGCACTCGGAACAGCCGCGCCCAAGCTTGGAGAGTGTGATCATGTGCGTGCTGCGGACGCTCTCGCCACCCAGTTCCTCTGCGGTGATGCAAAACCAAGCACCCCTTCCACTACTTCTCGCAGCCTATGTCCCAAGGCACATTCTGGGATGAGTGTCGCTAAGGTTGCAATCTGGACCACACCCATAGAAAACGGAGTGCCTGCCTCGAACTTGGAAAGCGCCTCCTGGCAGAAACCATGGACCTGAGGGTTCTAGACGCCCAAATTCTGGGTTTGGGGCCAAGAGTTAACAACAAAGGAAGGATTTCACCCACGTGGTGATTTGGACAAAGTGGAAGCTCTCCTATCAGGAGGTCAAATAAATGACTCCTGCAAAGACACCGAGGCTGACCTGGTTTTCTAGGCAACTGATGGAAATCCAAGGATTGTTAGCATTTCCCCAGCACCCACGGGAGTGTATCCCCAGATTTTAGTATTTGGAAGGGACCTCAGAGTTATCTCTCAACCTCCCAAGTCTTCAGCCCTTCCGGCAGTAAGTTCAGAAATAATCACGAAGTATTGAACTCTTTTGCTTGTGTGTCAGACACTGTACCACAAGCCTTTTGTATGTATAATCTTATTTAATTCTCTGGTTAGGTCAAAAAGTCTGTATACCTATTATCCTCATTTTGCTATTGAAAAACCAGTACTCAGAAAGGTGTCATTTGCCCAAGTTCATACGGGATAGAAGGGTACTTTTCTCCCTTTCCCTCTCTTTTGAACATTTCCTTAATACTAGTGACAAGCCTCATTCTAGAACAATTAGAAGGGAATCTCCACAACTGGCAAGGCATTCTAAGCCGTAAGGTTATGCTTTCTCTAGAGACATCTCATAGCAAACCATATTGCACAGAAAGGTATTCGGGATTCCATAGTGTTCACCCAAAATGGAAGATTTGAAATCCTGCTGTGAATGGTGCTAGGTTTCAAGGAGCTTAGAGGGGAATAGTAGAGAAAATGCAGAGTTGTGAAGAAGAATTCCTAGAGAATTGCTGTAAGACACATCCTCTGTCTAGGAAAATGAGGAGAGAGGAGAAACCAGCTGGGAGGGAGCCTATGGATGAAGTTGAGCAGGTATTGGTACTCCAAACTTATAGAGGTGGAAAGGCCATGTAACACTGAAGGTGACACTGGAGACAGCATGATGTAGAAATTGGCAGAAGTGGGTGTTAAACCTGTAAAAATATAACACCTATGTCAGAAAGGAACTGAAAACAGTAAGAAATGACTTTAATAAACCAAGTAAGATATGATAAAAACCCTAGATCAGGCCTAAATCAGTAGCTGATAGAAACATCTAAATTTGAAAAACATTTCAATTATCAACAAAATTGCAACAGTAGAATGAGGAAGAAATGAAAGACACTGAAATTTCAAAAAGTATACCTGGCTCATATGCAATGAGACCCTGAGGGCACGTAGAAATGCTAACCTAGAGTTGAGAGAGGGGAAACGCAATCAGCAGTGGAAAGGCAGAAACTGATTTGCCATATTGTATGGGTTCCTCCAAGAAAGAAGAACTGGAGAAATAGGAGAAAAATGTGGAATTTAAAATGTGGCTCAATTAAATGACTGGAAAGTAGCAATCAGAGAAGAGAGAAGAAAAGCTGAACAGAGGAGAGTCCTAGAGGTCAAGGGATGAGGAGTATTTAATAGAGGAGTGCTTAACAACACCAACTGTCAACTTTAAAACAGTTTAAAGAGAAACAAAACCAAGAACTGTCCTTTGGCTATAGCATGTAGTAAGACATTCAAGAATTAGAATAGTTACTAAGCAACCAACCTTGTGCAAGTTAAATATTTGTGCTTCAGGTTTCTCATCAGATAATACTAATAGGTGCATCATTGAATTGTTAATGAGATTACTTAAAGTAATATATGTAAATTTCTAGGAACAGTGCTGCCACACAGTATGGGCTCAATCAATATGTTTCTGTTTTTAGTATTATGTGTCTACTACAATGTACTAGGTGCTGAACACATTTTCTTAATCTATTACTCACAACATCCCAAAGTGGTGAATGGTTTACAGTCATGAGCCACATAACAAAGTTTTGGTAGATAATGGACCACATGTATGATTATAATGAAGCTGAAAGATTCCTATCACCCAGTGATATCTTTGCTGTCATAATGTTATAGCCCAGTGCATAACTCACACGTTTATGGACATGCTGGTGTAAACAAACCACTGTATTGCCAGTCATATAAAAGTCTAGTAATACAATTATGAACAGAACACAGCACTTGATAATAACAAACTATTTTCACTAATTTATGTATTTAGTACACTATATAGTTTATCATTATTTTAGAGTGTATTCCTTACACTTATAAAAAAAAAGAAAAGTTAACTTAAAATAGCCTCAGGAAGGCCCTTCAGGAGGTGTTCCAGAAGAAGGCATTGTTGCTATAGGAGATCATAATTCCATGTATGTTATTGCTCCTGAAAACCTTCCAGTGGGCAAGACATGGAGATAGAAGACAGTGATATTGATGACCTTGACCCTGTGTAGACCTAGGCTAAAGAGTGTGTTTGTGTCTTAATTTTTAACAAAAAAAGTTAAATTTTTTTAAATAGAAAAAAATCAGTAGGATAAGGATATAAATATTTTCATAAATTTTTACAATTTGTGTTTTAAATTTTATATAGTAAAAAAAATTAATAAAAAGCTTACAAAGTAAAAATGGTACAGTAAGCTAAGGTTAGTTTACTACTGAAGAAAAAAATTATAAATTTAGTGTGGCCTGTGTGTACAGTGTTTATAAAGTCTACAGTGGTATACAGTAATGTCCTAGGCTTTCACATTCACTCACCACTCACTCACGGACTCACCCAGAGCAACTTCCAGTCCTAAAAGTTCCATCCATGGTAAGTGCCCTGTGCAAGTATGCCATTTTTTAAATCTTTTTCTCCATAGTTTTATTTTACCTTTCCTATAGTTAGTTATACAAATACTTGCCATTGTGTTACAATTGCCTACAGATTCAGCACAGAAACATGTTATACAGGTTTGTAGGAGCAATAGGCCATACCATGAAGCCAAGGTAAGCAGTAGGCCAGAGCACCTCGGTTCGTGTAAGTACACTCAGATGTTCAAACAACAAAATCACCTAAGGTTGCATTTCTCATCATCAAGCAACACATGACTATTTCCTACTTTACAGATGAAGTAAAGTCATGTAGTTAAATAATTTGCTCAAGGACAAATTGGTACATTGTCTCCAAAGACAGTTACAGGCATCTTTCCCATTTCACATGGCCTTGAACAATGTGACTTCACTATTCCTCCCATCAAGAAGTTATCTACTGGATATTACCGTACACTTCTGTAGACTTTATAAACACTGTACACATAGGTACACAAAGTTTATATGTGTGCATATACGTTTATTAATATATATACATGTGTATATATACATATATGTGTATACATTAAAAATACATATATATTTTCCCCTTCTCCCCGAATCTGGGCAGGCCTTGTGACTTACTATAATCAACAGAATGGATGGAAGAGGTCTAGGGCTTAAGAGGTCTTGAAACTTTTGCAGGAAATCCTGCTGAAGAAACATCCCAAAGAATGAGAGTCAATGTTGAGAAAACATCATAGGAGAGGTAAGAGATACTACTATAAACTGAATTGTGTCCCCCCTCAAATTCTTATGTTTAAGTCCTAACTCCCAATGTGACTGTATTTGGAAATATGGCCATTAAGGATGTATTTAAAGATAAATGTGGTCATGAGAGTGAAGCCCTGATCCAATAGGATGAGTGTACTTTGAGAAGAATCATCAGTGTTTGCTTTCTCTCTTCAAATGCAAGGACAGAGAAAGCAGTGTCTGCCAGCCAGAAAGTGAGCTCCCTTTAGAAGCTGAATCAGCTAGCACTTTGATCTTGGACTTACAGCCTCCAGAACTGTGAGAAAATAAATTTCTGTTCATTATAAATTATTCAACCTCAGGTATTCTGTTACAGCAGCACAGAATGACTAAACCATGGGTATGATTCCTGGTAATGCTTTTGAACCATGAAGTTTGAGAACTTACAGTTTATATGCTGAGCAAAAGAGCCTTTGGAAAAGGACATTTAAAGTCAGCTGTGATGTCCTCTTGGCAATAATATTAATGATTGAAACAGATAATTATTAGGCATTTGTTATATTGTTATATACCATGTATTTTATATATATTACTGCATTTCCTCCTGATCATCCAACGTGGTCACACACATTATTTCTCCATTTTTGCAGAGGAAGAAACAAGTTCAGAGAGATTTTATAGCTACCCCTAAGATCCCACAGCTTATTGTTGATAGCCAGGACTCAGTTTCAAGTTTGCTTGACCCCAAAGCCTATGTTTTCTATATCATACTACTGCTTTGGATTACCTCTAGGATAAAAATACCCAATAACTACTTGTTTGACATTGCTCCAAGTCTTCTCATCATCTTGTTCATTGTCTTCTTTATGTAATTCTTTCCAAAATGTGGCACCTGAGCTGAACCCCAACCTCCTGGTGTCGTCATTCAACAGGTGGCATGCAGTATGTCCTGCTCTCTTTGTACCTCAAGTTTCTGCCTTGCTGTTTGGATGACAGTACCTCAACAAGCAGTGGATGAAATCCCATAAGTGTTTCAGACTACATCCCACTTCCAAAACATAGATTCTGTACTTGGGAAATAGTTTGGGATTACTAATGGCAGAACTTCCTAAAAATCATCATTT